CATTTCATGTTTCACAAATATTTATATTCCTTAAACGATACTACGAGAACAGCATTACTCACTTGTAAGGCTATCCAAATCTCCTCACTCCATCCAGAAAAAACTGAAGCGCAGTACTCGCTGTTGTTGGACCCAGCATTGAGGTACATAATCTAAAGGGTGGAAAACGGACATGAGTAATACTAATAATAGTTATGGGATGGTTGTCATAACATGGATTTGAACAAAAAAAATATGGATTATACCAGCAATATTTTCATGAGTATGTACTTTGATACAGTGCATTAATCCATTGGTGGGAAGACAGATGCTTGGAGGGACATCACAAATATCTCACTAAAATGCTACAAAATCTTGACATTTTTATACTGAATAAATTGTGCTAAGATTCGGTTACCACTCTCCACACTCGCTTGCATGTTCCTCCAGGTCATCGGGAGGAAAATTACGGCCACAGTTTGGTCTGCATCTGCAACTGGAATCACTTAAATGTTTAACATTAAAAGGTGTAGACAATAATACCTCAAAAATAAACACTACACATCACAACATACCTCTGTCTTTGTGGACACGAAAAACACATCTTCCTCCGTAGGCTGTCAGGAGGAATAACAAAATTGAAAAATCATTGCATATATGTGTTGTTACTCATCATTCAACAGATGTTTTTGCATAAACTGTTCATTAACTGACAGCCTCATACCTTAAATCCACATCACATCAGGTGGAACTGGCCACTTTACAAGATATGACAAAATTCAACTGTAGTGTTGAGCCTCCTCTCTGTTCTCTTAAAACATTGTATTCAAGCTTAATGGTCTCCCAACATTATCCATACACACCTCCAGAGGATAAGTATCTGAAGGCTTGCATGTTTCAACATGCAGCGCTAGGATTTGCAATGGATAGCTGGTGTGAAAGGAGTGGCACATTGCCTTTGGCATACTAAAGAAGGACCTTGAGTCAGGAGGCAGTGGTTGAGTGTCTAGTTCCTCCTGTACGGAGCAATATATAGGACACCCTTTCCGCCTATACTTGCAGTCTTCAGCATTAGCCCAGTATATCCACTGTCCCCAGGAGACACCATATATAGTTTTCTAGAACCCCACCCTTTTAACAAGAAAAGTTATTTAATAGTTGAACTCTATTGAAATGTGACAGTACTCATCACTCAAGATATTGATTCAAATTATTTTATACCAAGATTAGATTGGCCATGGGTAAGTTCTATGTACCTGCTCCCAGACACACTTTCCAGCTTTGGATAAAGATCTTTGAGGGTTGAACATACCTTCAAGAGTAATATACACTACCGGTCAAAGTTTTAGATCAGTAAGATTTTTAAGTCTCTTCTGCTCACCAAGGCTGCTTTATTTGATGAAAAAAAAATGACAAACAGTAATATTTTGAAATATTATGACAATTTAAAATGACTGTTTTCTATTTTAAAATATTTTAAAATGTAATTTGAAAGCTGAATTTTCAACATCATTACTGTTGCTGATTACACATTAGTTTTCAGTGTCACATGATCCTTCAGAAATCATTCTAATATGCTGATTTTATGCTCAAAATTTTCAATGTTGAAAACAGTCATGTACCATTTCCCCCCCCCCAAAAAAATTCTATAATGAATAGAAAGTTCAAAAGAACAGCATTTATTTAAAATATAATCTTTTCTAACATTATAAATGTCTTTACTGTAACTTTTGATCAATTTAACTCATCCTTGATGAAAAAAAGTATTTTCTAATTTCTTTCCCCCAAAAATAAAAAAATAAATTACTGACCCCAAAATTTTGAATGGTAGTGATTTATGTTACAAAAGCTTTCCTTTTCAGATCAATTCTTTTCTTTTCAACTTTCTATTCATCAAAGAATCCTGAAATAAAAATGTAAAAAAAAAACTGTTCAGCATGGATAATAATAATCATAAATGTTTCTTGAGCATCATATTATAATAATTTCTGTAGGATCATGTGACACAGCAGTTTTAAATTGTAATAATATTTCACAATATTTCTTTCTCTTTTTTTTGTATTTGTATTTTAGCAGTAACGTTACTCTGACAATGACAACCACGAGGAGAAGTTATCGGGAATCACACTGAAGACATGACCAGTCTACTGCGGCGGCTAACACTCTACGTTTGCAACATTTTCACCGGAGGAAGAGGCAAACGCTTAGAAATAATAAACACCAGGCAAAAATGTTGTTACCAGAGCTAACTTAGTAGGCTACCATAAAAACGTGGGATTAGCTAACTACTGTGTTAGCATTAACAACGTCGGGACTCGGGAGAAAGATTTCATTTCCCCCGTTTCTACAAAATTAGCTATAACATTAACAATAGTTAAACAAAAGATCGTTAGATCGTATAAAAAATGTCATTACCGTATTTGTCCCAGCCGAATCCATGGTGGTGGTCACGCCAGTCGGTAAGTGAAGTCAGGCATGGCGGGTAACATACTGTGCTCCAAAACATTGGTGCTGATTGGGCCAAGAGGAGTCCTGTGCGCCAATGAACGCTATCGATCTCCGCTCGATAGGGGATTATCACGCTTCCGGGTTTCATGGGCGGCATTTGTTAAAGTGAAATCAAAATTGAACCTATTTACTTTGTTAGCGCATATTACTAGTCTTGTGGTGAACAATTAATCCGTGCAAGTAAAAATATATTTAAAAAATGTTTTACCTTAGTAATCTTTAATCAAAATCTGAAAAGTTACTTCCGGTCTGGAACGGTTTCTTTTTCTGATGACGTAGGTTTCACAACTTGGGTGGGGAAACGCTTAACCACTCCCCTCAAACCGTTAGTTTACTATGAGCGAAAGATGGAGAGGAGGAGCGCTAGAGTAAAACCCTGCCCTCTGTTCAATATTCCGTTTCACTTGGAAATACGTCACAGCACTGGAGAAAAATCTTTTGCAACTTCCGGTTCACGGGGACTTTAACTTTGTGCATGTCCACTTCCGACGCAGTTCAACAACGCCTGATACGAATGTTATTTATGTCACTGCTCTGTTCCACTTTGTAAATCTAACCAACAACGCCAACCCTACTTAAGTTTTCATGGATTCCCGACTGAATTGAGTATAAGGAAGAAGTGGATTAAAACTTTAAAATAAAACAAGGTAGCACGTTTGTTTGCAGCCGGCACTTTAGTGAATCAGACTAATTTACCAGGGATGCCGTATAAATAAACTTAGTGTAGTCCTTCATCAGTTCGCCAGCGAGATCGGCGATTCAACGGAAGTGGCAGTGCACAAAGATCACAGAATCCGGAAGTACTACGTATCAGCGTGATAATCCCCTCCAACTACCCGGATGTCTGTCTCAGTAACTTGAAATTGAATTTGAGAACTGAATGTGAAGATACAGTATAGAGTTTAAATTTCAGTGAGGATCAAATTTTATTGGACTTCAGTTCCAAACAAATAAATTCCATTTCAAATTATACAATTCAGATTCAGTTTTTGAATAAATTCAATTTTAATTAAACAATACAATTTCAAATTATATGATTTAAGTTCAGTTTTTCGATGCAATTATTCAAGTTAAGCCATTCAAATTCAAATATAAATGGTTTAAGTTCAGTTTCTGGTGGCACATATTTCAGCCCATACATTTCATTCTACCGAACTTCATGCAAGTCGTGCTGGATTACATATACACAGATCAGACGAATTAAACTTGAGGTAACGCAGCGCTGTTTCACTTGCTTGCTTTACTAGTTTCACTATCACACTAAACGGCATTTGAGTGTGTTGAATTTTGTTAGGTGGTTGTGTGTTGGCTGAATGAGACTATAAGCTAGATCAACATTAGAATAACATACAGATCATATTCTAACTTTTCATCATGTTGAACTAAATAACATTGAGTTTTATGTACATTTGCTTACCTGCCTAATAAAGTAACTTATGCAACACTCTGTCAAATCAAAGTCGCGGATGTGGATCAAAGATGTTGATCTTCGTTTAGTCCTCTTTTTGTCTCAAGTCTGCTTGCAATGGTCCAAAATGTTTGAACAAAACAACAACAGCGTGAGCGTCCTTCTAGGCGGCATAACCCAGTTATTAACGTCTATCGCCATGGTTACTATTGCAGGACGAAGTCAAACCTGAAGAAAATCGAGGGTAACGCAAATATGACGTCATTGACTCCTCACACGCCCCGTTTCCTTGGTTAAAATCTCAATTTTCTCACGATTTACAAATGGTTGGAAACATTTGGGATATTGTAAGTAATCAACTAAACAAAATATATAACACTGGCCTAGTGGTTTATGGATATTGTACTGCAAAAATCCTGCATATTGTACCTTTAATGTAGACGTATAACTCAACCAGAACCCGCCCATTTATTTCGCATATTTTAGCTTGGAATATTGTGACGTGTTCGTTCCCTGAAGAAAACTCAAGACTGGAGGCGTTTCAGGGAGTTCAGAAACACTGAAAAAATATCATTGCTCTTTACTTGCCAACAACTCGGTCTTCCAGTGGAAGGATGACACAAATGCATTTGTTTAATAAAATGATATTTTAATCTAACTTTGTGTCCATAATATTTCTTTATTAAGTGTTAATTATCCATATTAAAAAGCAATAAGGCACTCGATGTCGTGCTGTATTGTGAATATAAACACACTAACAACATCTTTTAACCATGATTATATTCACAACACAGCACAGCCTCAAAAACCTTATTGCTTAAATCAGTGTCATAAAGTGAGTTTTCATGTATAAACAACAGAAGCTGGTATATTACAAGCAAAAACAGCATTATTCCTCTTTGATTAGTGTGAACCTAATGCTATATTCACTCAAAATGACAGTTTTATTAAAGTCAGGGAAAACAATGCAATGACTTCAGGGTGTTTGAACCCTTTACTGACAGTTAAAAGCTTTTGGGGGAAAAGTGAAATGGTGGTAAAACAGGAACACCATAATGTCCACTTGTCTAGAAGTTTCCATGTCTTTGTTTTTGAACTCGTTTTGACAAAATTGGCAGTAAAAGCATCTCAGTCCAGTTCAGTGTGGGAGATGATACGGAGAAATCCGTGTCTTGACTCCATGTGCCTGTCACGCTGAAAGACAAAGTAAGCACAGGAGGATTACACAACAGAAAGAGAATATTATCTGAAGTTATTGTGCACTTTAGCATGGTTGGATTTATGTGATTTGATTTTCAGTATTTTGCAATATTTTACAGTTACCATGCTTTTAGGACACATCCAAATTAATAGCACCTAAAATCATAAACTTGGATTTTTAGGATGTTACATCAAGTGAACATGTTTTTTAAGAAGCAATTTTCTTTTTTTGCTCATATAGCAAATGCATTATATTGTATTTCATAATAAAAAACAAATTAAAATCAAAGCATTTAATCAAAATTGACTGAAATTGGTCACTTTTTTTGGCATTTCAATAAACGATCAAAGGGTTAATATATTTATTGATCCCATTAATTACTGATGGGTTAGATCCGCTTCAAAAAAAAAAATTACTCAATGAATTTTTACTTTACACATTTTTAAAAATTTTTTTTGTCTCGTTACAAAAGTAAAAAAGATTTGCAAATGGTTTGTAAAAAGTGTTTTATTTAATACTTTGTTTAAAAAAGCCTTTGTGACAAAATTTTCATTTATATTTACCATTGTTGGCCACATAAACAATATATTTAATAGTTACATTTTTTATAAAATGTTTTTTTAATGAGTTGTTGGACACAATAAAGTTTTAAATTCTTAAATGCATAAAAAAGTATATATTATTAAAAATATACTTTCAAAAAACTGTATTACATTAAATAAAAGTTAAAAAACACACTTAAAATGTATTTATAATATATATTTGAAATAAATAAAAAGATTAGTAATAATAAGACTTAGAAAAGTTATATACTTTTTGTACAAGTTGTTGGACAAATACTTATTTTATCTATAAGTATATTATATTAAATAAAAGTAAAACAATTATAACAATTTAAACAATTTAAAATATATTCATACACTGTAAAAAAATCTTTTCATGGTCATTTTTTTCAAATCAACTTAAATAATTTATTTAGTTCAGATAACATATAACTTTGAGTTTCTGATGATTAAATCATTCAACTTCATTGCATTAACTCACGTTTTCCATTTCAATGAACTTAAAATTTTAAGGCAACCAGGTTACTTACTTTTTTAAGTTAAACCAACAATTTTTTTACAGTAAAACAATTATTTATATATATATATTTGAAATAAATAAAAAGATTAGTAATATACTACACATACATGTATAAGGTCGAATATATAATAAGGTTATATATATTATATATATAGCTTGTAATTGTGAAGTTTAAGTGGCAGCTCACCAGAATATTCAGCTTTCTTTCTAATTGGCTGACAGAGCTGTCAGACAGCTGATTGGCTGATTACGCCCGGCGTGTGAAAGCACAGATGCGGTTCGCTCAGAGTTCGGCTCGAGGGCCACGAGGACGGATGAAGGGCTTCTGACAAGGCACCTGATGCCCAGGCCCGAGCGTTCAGGGGCCGACCCGGTGCATTCTGGGACTGGCCCCGTGCATTCTGGGAAGGGCGGGCTGGGGAGGGGTAGCGGCTGTCTTTCACTAGTCTCACTCCATGGGAAGGAGTGGGTCCTGTGAGGGAAACCAGACGCCAAGGTGTATATAAAGATTCATCGCTAAAACTGAGTTTGCAAGAATTGGAAAAAGCATTTGGAGCTGAGAGAGAGAGATGAGATCACAGACGAGTGGAAAACCATCCCCCTGCCGCCCACGTTTACTGTAAGCGGGAAGAGCGTGAGTCAGGACTTACCTAGTGTTTGAGAACGGGAGACGGGCCGCGGGCAGAGGAGGACAGGGGTGCAGGAGAGCCAGGAGAGAGTGATTCATGGGACGCTGAAGGAGAAGGAGATCTCACTTTCTCCTGAAACACAGAGGAAAATAGCTGAACCTCTCTTTCCTGTTTATTCAGAACCAACATTAGATATGTACGGCCCTATAAAATGTGTTTTATTTTTTCCAAATTCAATGTTTTCTCTTTGAATTTCTCTGGATTACATTGATAGTGGTTTCATAAATGTATTAATCAAAAAGGACATTCACAACATTTGAACAAATGTAAAATGTTTTTGCAAATATTCTGTTTTATGTCTTCCAAATTCCAAGTTTTTAATGTTTTGATTATTTACATTAATCAAAAAGAATGTATAATCAACGGAATTCATACAACAAAACAATGTAACAATAATAACTATTAAAGTTTTTTTCCCCAGAAATATTTTCTGTTTCAATTTTTCTGGATTCAGTGTTTCATGTTTTAATACAAATATATAATCCAAAAAAAAGAGGTAATTTCAATGAATGCCTAAAACTTTAACAATTTAATTTATCTTTTAAAATCATTATTTTGGCAAACAAACTGCTGCACAACAAATTTATTTTAAATTAAAACACGTATGAAAAAAAGTGATATTGTGTGATATTCCTTAAAAAATAAAGTTTTTATTTTTTTTTTATTATTACTTTGATAAGTACATTCAATAAATTATCTTTTTATAAGATAAACCGAACTTTTATTTTGACAGGTTGTCGTGAACTTTTATTTTGACGGGATGTCGATCTTCATCTGTTTGGAAGCGTTTGGAAGACATGAGAGTGAGAAATTAATAAGCAATAAGTAAACTATCCGTTTAATATTCACAGTCACTAGTCCATATCGCAATTTGAAGAGTTTAAAGTGTATGTCTTTTGATTTATTTATTAAAATTTAACGTTAGCCAAATTCCATGACGTCGCAGTAAATTAGCATTTTCACAGGGCCCTAGATTATATGCTTGAAAACTATACTTTCCATGACGAGGAGCTAGTTAAACTTCAGACGTACGAGAGTATTGCTCATGATCCAATACCTGAGTGGGGCTCTTGCAGAGTCCAGGTGAGCGCGGCTGAGATCGAGGTGAAGAAGAGGCTTCCCGGGACGGGTTCTTCCGGAGGACCGGAGAGATGTTCAGCCCGTTCCCCTCGGTCGACCTGGGAGAGACTCCAGCGGGTGACACACTTTTCTGCAAACACAGACGCTACGAGATGTCATCACAAACGTCAAATCACATCACACTTCCTCAAACAAAAGCAATAGCAACTGTTTGCTCATGCAAATGCCATCTAGATACGACTCAGTGCCTCCTTTAATAGGATTTTATTGACATAGTATAATTTAAACGAATGATGCAGGACAATTCATGTGCCGAAATGGTTTCTTAGATGTGTTGGTTAAATACAAACCTCTTGTATGAACAGTTTAGAGATGCGTACACTGAAATTTATGTTTGTTAGTTTCATGTTAAAGTTTGGCAAGTCTTTACAAGATCTAGAGGCATATACAAATATGTTGAAGCTTGATTTATTTACGTTTACTTTATTGGTTAATTACATTTTGATGATGCTGTTAACCAGGTAAAAACACTGTGAACTCATCCTTTGCTGCTAATGAAAACTTTGTTGTTTTAGAGAAACCTTCAACAAATATTATATATAATTATTGAAGGGAGTTTTCTATTTATTATAGTATGTTGCTGGCATTTGATGTACAATGATCTTGTTTAGATGATTTTGATGAATGACTAACTTTGCGATACTAATTAATTGTGCTTTTTTATTTAGGAAGAACTCAAATAAAGTGATTTCAAACTGATTAAAGCTGCAAATATATGACAGCTGATCTGGGCTATTTAATTAATATGCCAAAATGAAGCCTTTATGACTCAAATCTATGATTTATGAACGTGATTAAACTGTATCACAACGGTCATTAATATTTCATTATGTTTGATCAATGGTTTTTGTACTTCCAAATAAGAAAGTGCACAAAAATACATGAATCAAAGCATCATGACATTTCTAACTATTTGAAGTATTGAACTAATGATCTATCAAATATTATATGATAAAGTTTGTTATTGTTACTAAAGAAAGATACCCGGTTCATAAATCAAAAACTCATAAAGGCTTACATTTTTTTAACATAAACATTCAAGAACTCTTATGAGGTCACAGAAATACTGGAAGCGACCAATGACGTGTCGTGCCTGGGAATGTTCATTAAAGGGATACTTCACCTCTGGAAAGATGAATGTGTATTTAAAAAGGGTCATTTATGTAGAAGAAATGTGAAATTATTTTTAAATTTGGGGCTTTCTAGACTGAGAAAAGCCAGAAAATGTATTTTTGGCTTATGTGGATGAAAGACAACAACTCCCAGAATGCACTTGCTTCGCTGCCCTAGGTGGCCACGCCTACCGGTAACAGAGAGCAATAGTTAAACAACAAGTCTAGGCTACTAGTGAGTCTCCGTGATGAGTCTGTAGTCTTTAGCCTCTCGACAAAAAAATTCTCCGATGACGCAAAATGCAGATTTTTGCGTCATCGGAGGATTTTTTCCAAACAAAAAATACATAAATCTCTCGTCTCAGGGGGATATGAGGGTGGAAAGCACAGTAATTCGAAAATACTACAGATTTTCTACTAATACAAAGCTTAATGCTAAATCCTGAAGTATCCGTTGGCTTTAGGCTACTCTTCAGCAACTGAATGGATGAATTACTACACATCCAACTTTACTAGGAGAAAATGTTGGTGCACCGTTGACATCCATTGTAAACATTGCAAGAATGAGAAAGAAAGTAAGTGTATTTACACCTCTTTAGTGCTGTCTCTTCTGAGAGCGTCTTCATTTTTCCCGCCACTCTCCTGCAGGAAAGACACATGATCAGACCCACCCAATCATCAGCTCCTCATAATAAAAATCACTGTAATATCTCAAATGGAGACTTTGCTCAGATCTCTTGCTTCTTAGATGTTTCTCCAAAGATTAAGACTTCACGTGTGTCTCCTCTTTCAGAAGATTTTTTAAAACTGTGCTCAGATTTGCCAAGATACTAAAGATTTCAGTTAGGGTTATTATTGTAAAATAGAGCTAAAACTATTAAAAGCACCTCTGTAAACTGAAATAAAGCTAAAATAAAAAACAAAATAAACAATAGATTAAAACCTTGTTGACTATCCGAAATAAGTTGAATTACTGAAATAATGAACTAAAAACAAAACAAAAGTAGTGTAAAAAACAATTAAAACGCACATTTACATAAATTACTAATTTGTTGTAAAGAAAACTGAAAATATGAAAAAACAAAAGATAAAAAAACTATATTAATATATAAATAATACTAAAATAAGACTGAATTCAAACATTTCACATCAAGTCAGATCTTAATAGCGCTAACGTTGCACACTTAAGGCCTGTTCACACCAGAACGAATTTTCGCGCACAATATTCGCAGATGTTTAACGCCTCGTGACCAAACAAAGGGGGCCAATGTGAGTGGGCACATCGACGCGGATAACACCAACGCCACGTGTTTTTTTAAAAACGCCACGGGTTCTTTTTTTAGTTTGACGCGCCGCGTCAAAAACTATCCGACCAATGAGATTGGCGCTTTTGCTCACGTGTTTGTAGCTTCTGAAGTTACAGTAAAACACAACTGGGGGGCGCTCAAACACAAAACGGTCTCGCCGAGCACACATACGTTACGGTGAAGAAGATATACGCCAAGTAGCGTCTTCACTGCCTTGAAGAAATGAGACGAGGAAGATGCAAGGCCAGATGAATGTAGAGCTGCTGGTCTCGCTGGTCAAAACATAAAGAACTATATTTATTTATATACGTAGCGCTTTTCACAATACAGATATATGATAAATGCGACGGCGACTACAAACATCTTGATAAAAGAGAGCTGTTATGGAGTGGTATTGCAGAGCAAATGGGCGCCATCTAATGTCAGGGAATATTACATGCTCACTCGGCTCATCGTCAGTTAAAATCGCTTGGGTGTGAACACAAAAACGCGCTCACGAATAACGTGCGCCGAAATTCGCCGCGGTGTGTACGACCCTTTACTCTACAACAGCTATTGACTCATTTGTGTCTTAAATAAATAACCGAGAGCTCATTATGCCTCCCAAGCTATAAAAGAGCAACATTCCTCTAGTTTGGTGAGTGGATGCATAAGTCAGTGTTCAAGGATAAAATGAAATCACGTTGAATAAATGATGAGCATGAATATTCAATCGCAGTCGGCATGTCATTTAGCTGAATATGTAAGTACATACGAAAATCACAGACTTCAGGATGATCTTAGAAACTGCTAAGTGAGGAAGTACTAGCATGTTTGGTCTTGGCTTGACTCACCCGCCGTGTTCGTCCCGCGCCAGTCTGGTCTGAGCCGCCCCGTTTACTGTCCACATCAGTGTGAGAGGATGAAGAGGAGGAGGGAGGAGGAGGAAGACCCAGACGCAGTCCTGCAGAGCGATGGCCCACCGGAGAGCCACTGCCACTCTGAAATACACACACTATAATCTCACACCACTGCATGCGCTGAATATAACCTCAGTCTAACATGAACTGACATCCATCCATATCATTTCAACACACATCCACTGCAACAGAGCTTAAAATATTATCAGTGTTCAACACAAAAAATGGTGAATTAATTAACATTATACATTTCTGTACTATTTCTAACTACATGTTAAATAAACATATTTTGCCTGAAGAACAAAATTTGTTTAATTCATATTGTCATGTTGTTTGTAATAAGTTTTTTTGTTCTTGTTTTTAATAGAAAAAATAAAATAAAACGGCAAAAAAATATGTATATTGTGATTTATATCGTTATCGTGCTCATATCGATATTATACCTCACAATGTAAAACATTAACATTATAGCAAAATCTCTACCTGTTAGAAATTTACATAAACCATTTTGTATGGTTATAAGAAGTGATTTTGTACATTAATATATGGATATTTTGAATATTTATACTGTATCACATGAGTTTAGTCAATTTCATACATAATGCATGAATAACCATTATTTTTTCTGAATTACAATAAGGAAGGGGTTGTTTTTTTGACCATTGAAATCGTTAAAAATCATATTTAACTTGAATCTCAAATGCAAAAATGCCTTTGTTTTCTGATTTTTGTTTTTGTAACCTGAAAATTGAAAAGTAAAATGTTATACTGTAAGTTTATGGATAATCATTTATGCACAAGTTCTGTGAAAATGGAAAACACCACCATTATATTATCAACTGATAATGTGTTTTACTGTTGGATGGTATATACCGGGGGCGTTACTATAAAACAAACTATAAAACAATAAAAACTACTTCCATGATGATCACGTCTAATGCATGGCTTTAATCATTTTTACTTAGATGCTATATATACAAAAATCCAATCCAACATATAAAATCCAATCAGCAGTGCAATCCTGACAGAAAACAAGACCATGCAAACACACTTCACTAATGGAAGACCAATGGGAAGAGGATGACATCTCAGGCTTTAATACTCACCCTGTTTGGGGCTCCATCTAAATAAAATAAAGAGAGATAGGCTCATTGAGATAAGATGATCCTGTTATATTGAGCATTTGCAATGCATTACAGGAATATTCCAGATTAATTTCAATCTAAAGTATATGGATCAAATCTGTTGCATTCCAAAAACATCACATTTACAGTATTGCATGTACAATGGAAGTCTATGAGGCTTTCCAGAAGGTTTAAAGGGGTCATCAGATCCACATTTTCCACAAGTTGGTATTCTTTGGGGTCTTCATGTAAAGTTGTGGTTTAAATTCCTCAATGGTTGTGTAAAACATCCTTTTTACCTCCTCAAAAACAGCTCTGTTCACAGCGACCCGTTTCAGTGCATGTCTCTTTAAATGATAATGAGCAACTGCTCACCCATCCCCCCCTTCCCCCTCCCACTGTCTTTAAAGTGATGCCTTGGCGGACAGAATACAAACGGCTGAGGGCGGAAATATGCTAAAACGGGAAATATGTTAATACGTGACAGTCCGTCAGTGGTTGTGGCCGGAACATGAGCAAAATGACATCATATTGCTCAGAAAATCCAAACGGCTTGATTATTGAGAGTGTTTACGCTTTTTGAGGATTAAAAAGAGGAGTGAATGTTTTTTTTTTACAAGAATGGACCATATAAAAGTTAATTTCGCATCCGACGACCCCTTTAAAACGTAGAAATGAAAAACGTTTCTTTTTAAATGAATTCTTCTGCAAAATGTTGCTATTTGAGTTTTGTGTTTTCTAAATGATAATTTTTGAGGTGGAGAAAAATATGCTCTATGTAAACGGTGTCCATGTCTGATTATGCATAATGCCTTATTATATACGCAGTAAGAAAAAAGTGGTGAGACCCTCATGGGATTGTATTGACAGTAATTTTGTTTAAAAAAAAAAAATAAGTAAAAAATACTACCTTAATTACTACTGTTAAAATAAAAAAAAAACATTACTTTTATCATAATGCACTAATGAAAATAAATAACCCAGAATACTCATTCTGACTCCATTAGCATTTCATTAAAATGAGGATTCTCACGCACCTCTGGAGTCCAGGTGCTCGGGGTGAGTGATGTCATCTTTAGGCGCCAGGTGCGGGGGGAACGGGAAGGCCCCGGGAAGAGCCATGAGGCTGGCACCCGCGCCCAGGGTCAGTCCCGAGGGGTGTGGCGTCAGAGGGAAGCCCGGAGCATGATGGGATAGATGCTGGAACTGCTGTTGCTAGACGGGGGAGGGAGAG